AGAGCAAAGAGAAGGAGAGAGAGAGAGAGAGAGAGAGAGATCCACTCCATTCTTAGTCTGGAACACAGATAACCACCCCCTCTGGAACCTAGATGTTAAATATATATTCACTCACCATTTAAAATTTTATCCTTAGTTAATTTAGCATATAATCATGTAATCTAGGCTGATTTGGTGAGATGGGGTTAGGGGTAGATTATTGCCAGAGACCATGGCTACTCTGATAGGGCGATTATCAGCTTTCCATTATTTGGATCAATACCTAAGATAATTTGATGATCAAATAATTTGTACTTGTTCATCATTTCAGAGGTCAACAGTTTGGGGCTGCATTCACTCTGGGTCATGTGAGGCTCAATGGTGATGGGAGCATGTGACAGGGGGTCCTTCCCTAAGTGTGGACAGGAACAGTAGAAAGGAGACAAGGGACTTCGTAAATTCTACAAGATACACCTTCAGAACTATTAGATTCCCTCCAGTTAGGTCTTAGTCCCTAGAAATGCCACCAAACAAGCATCCAACATTGAAGCCATGGCAAATAGTAATACACCCTTGGAAGGCAAGATATTGGAGAATGCAGACATACTGGTGGGTGAAGCTTAGGAAAACAGAGAAAAACTGTGATTAAAAAAAAAAAAGCACCACCCTGTTACATAAGCATCCATGCTTTGGGAATGAGGCCAGTTTGGGCTTTGTTCTGTCTTTATTGTAAATTATTTTAATAATTTTGTAACTGAATTTGGTGTCATTAAGTTTTATGGCAGGTGTGACTAAATGATCACTGTAGCCAAGTTTCTCTGATATATTAAGAAATACCTAATTGTGTTTTAAAAGTGATGGAAAGAGTAACCTTATTCATTTTCATAACATATGTCTCCCATATGTCAAGTGATCAGTGAGTTTTTATTGATTAGGCTCAATAAATGATGAAAGAATCCTTCAGATTCCATAAAATAGTTCAACATTCTGCTCACTTTCTCATTTTTCATTATTTGTTTTCCTTTTGACTTGTTTTTATACTTTTGACAATTTTATCCATGTGTTTACTGCTTTTATACTTTTTCTAATTTGAGGATTATAATATACTTATTTATTATAATATACTTATTTATTATAATATACTTATTTATTGTAATAACTTATTTCTCTTTTCCCTTTCCTCCCTTCAAATAGTTCCATGTACCCTTCATCACTCTCCTTCAAGTTCATGGTTTATCTTTGTGCTAATTGTTATTGCATGTATATATGTATATGTTTATAGATATACATTCTTGAATATAACCTGTTTAGGCTGTATAATGTCATTGAATTTTCATCCTCATTATCTTTTTTATTCTCCTATCCTGATGACAGCCTTCTTCAAAAAAAAAAGCTTACTTACATTGTGTGTGTGTGTGTTTTTTTAAGCTCATTGAGTTTAATTATGATTGATGCCATAATTAACTTACTTACTGGAATCTGGGCAATTTATCAGTAGCTGCAAACCTGAAGAAAATGGCACCTTTCTCTCGGCAAGTTTGAACAGAAAGATCATCAGTACCAAACACAGTATGTAGACAAATACATGGCAGAATACAATGTTTTTATTTCCATACCCATCTCAAGCACAGTAGGAAAGTGAAGTTGACTGTGAGAGGGGTGGCTCAGGAAAGATACTTAGTTGGACTCAATGGTCCGTTGAATCCAGTCCAGGTAGTTGCACACTCTGGTGTATACATCAGGTTTCCCTTTCTTACCACAGCTACTGCCCCAGGAGACAACACCTTGGAGTTCTTTATTGCAGACCACAGGGCCACCAGAATCATACTGAACAACAAGAAAAAGATAATCAGTTTTCTTGTTGATACCTAGAAGAGAGAATGTGAGGTTTGATGTGGTCCTTTATTATCCTGGGGTTAGTTCTCAAGTCCTTCAAATGGTACCCACTCTGCTCCTGGAAATCTAGCACACAATATCATTACTACATCACTAACATATTTATTTTTGTATTGTACTACTTCTTTATGTCACAGACCTGTAAAGGCTATAAAAGGCGGAGACTGGGGAGATCTAAGATTGTCCAATCACGTCTGCCTTTCCTCAAGATTTCCCTGCAATACATCTCAGAAGTTTGCCTGTGTGTATTGTCTGGACAATCTTAACCACCAATTTAAACCATCACATCACAAACAGAAAACTTTTCATGCTAAGGCTATTCCCAAACTTTCAGATTCAACCTCAGAAGAAAAATTAGTTTTATTTTTGCATATATACCTGGGGTGTGTGTGCACCTATGTTTGCATTTTTTGTCAGTAGATGTGCATAGGGAAGGACGTGTGTGTGTGTGTGTGTGTGTGTGTGTGTGTGTGTGTGTGTGTGTGTGTGCGCGAGCTTCTGATGGAGGTCTGAATTTGATACTGGGTACCTTCCTTCACTGTGCTCCACTTTTATTTCTCAAGACAGAACCAATCATTGCACTTAAATGTGCTCATTTCTGGTGCTCCCCTATTCACCTTGGCTCTGGAGATCCCCTGTCTTTGCCTCCCAGACATCAGCATCACAGACCTGTCAGCTTTGACATGGATTCCGAGGATCCAGATGTCAGCCGTGGTCCCTGTGGGGCAAGGGCTTTATCTGTGGAGCCTGCTCTCAGATACAGAGTTATATAGTCTTTTGCATTTCATATGGAGAGATATGTTGTCAGTAGTGAAACTGACCGGCTGGACAGAGGAGGGAAGGGAATGCACCTGGCAAGTATCTTTTTCTTCTAGGAAGCCAGCACAGAACATGTTTTTTGTGATATGATGTGGGTAGGCAGTGTGGCAAACAAGGTCCGATAGGATGGAGGCATTCACACAATGAAGGTCTGAAGAGGCTTTGTCTGTGGGGGGAAGGACAAAATTGGAAAAACGTCCATGGTGTCCCATGATGTTTCTTTTCCCACCTCTCTTCCCTCTCATAATACTTTCCATGTCTTTCAATTAGGCTGGGCCTTAGAATTTGGGAGGGTTATTTTTTTTCCTGGAAGATTTTCCAAATAGCTCTAACCAACGAGTTCTTTCTTTGACACAAATTTTAGTGGTGTCATACCTGAAGTCCAGAGACTTTTTTAAAGTTGAGTTCTTCAGGCTGAACTGAATCTCTTAATGTTCTATGTTCCACCCAGTATCTAATACTATGATTATCACCAATCATAATTAAATTTATTGACGTCTTTCTAATAGTTATCTTCTATATGATCTCAACAAAACAAACTCTTAAACTTTGAATAGCTTATGTCAAGACTGTCTGTGACCGAAGTTATCTTCCTGGGAACATGCTTAAAGTGAGAATGTGGACCAAGTGACGTTGTCCTGCCTTCCATTTCAGGGGCTTCTCACAGTTGCAATGTATGGTCTAGGTAACACTTACTTCCAATGCTCACTGAGTCTCCCCAGCCTGACACAAGGCACTCAGTACCAGCAGATGGACAGGAGTTTGGCAGAGAGACAGTGGACACATGAGAGTTCATGGTGGCTGGTGAGTTCAGTTTAATCAGCATGATGTCATTATCGGTGGTATCATTGCTGTAGTTGGGGTGGGTGATGATCTTGGCTGCGTTAACGATTTGTTCACCACCTTCAATTTCATTAATGTTGAATTCTCCCAGACGAACCTGTATTCGGCTACATTTATAAGGATTAACAGTTTCCTAACTATCCTTCTTGGAGTTTATCCCCCTTCTCCAATCTTTAATCATGAACATAGACAGAAACACCATCTTATCACTTTAGGTGGCTCTGGTTACTCCTATCTTAGCCATAGTTAGAGAGTTCCTTATATGTCTCTGCTAGTGCACTCTCAGCCCATCGTCTCACTGGAATCCAAGGCAGAAGGCAGAAAAAAGTGCCCCTTACAGAACAGTTGGAGGTGAAAATGGGATTGGAGAAGACTGGATGGGTTGAATGAAGAAGAGGGAATATCAATTCAACTTAATATTTCTCTTACGGTTGTGATCACCAAGGGAGGTGAGGAAGGAGTCAGAGATGGAAAACATTTAGAGCACAGAACAAATTATCCTTTTTCATGTTTTAATAGAAATATAGTACATCTTATTACTTCATATGACATTTTTATGATCACAGTTGAGATACAATTGTTGAGATTATGTGTGTGGTTTTAGATTACTTCAATATTTAGAAAAATATCTGTAAAATCCAAGGGCAACATCTGTTATCACTCATAAAATTCCTATGACCACTAAGACATCTAGCTTCCGATCCTTCCTTCCTTCCTTCCTTCCTTCCTTCCTTCCTTCCTTCCTTCCTTTCTTTCTTTCTTTCTCTCTCTCTCTTTTTTTTTTTGATCAATCAAGTGTGTTGTCAAAGTGACTCAGTAGGTAAAGGTGCTTGCTCTTAAGCCTATGACCTAAGATTGATTCCTGGGACCCACAGGGTGGAAGAAAAATAAAACCCAACAACTCTGGAACTTGTCCACTGACCTCCACATTTGCCTCCCCCAAAGTAAATGAAAAACAAAATTTATTTTACTCATGAAGGATAACTGCCTTTTCTTGTTTATTCATTTGCAGGTTAAAGGAAAAAATGACCTTAGATTTAGGAGTGTGAATATTGGATACTTACGGCTTATAGCAGTGAGCAGCAGTCAGTACCCATTGGTCACTGACAAGAGCGCCCCCACACAAGTGGTAGCCAGCATTCAGAGATACCTGGTAGGGGACTGAGTTTTTCCTACATGTGTAGCCTCCAAAAATGCTGTCATCATTCTCATTAGTGGACTCCTCGGGATTCTCATAAGGGAAGTAATCATTCTCATTAGTGGAGATAGCAGCTATTAGGGGGAAGAGGTAGAAACTCTGTTACATAGATCGGTCATGAAATTCCATGCATGAAATTTATGCAGACTAACCCACACACGAGGTGACCGTCCTCTGTATCACCATCAAGTCAGAAAATGTTGGGCTTCAGGTGGTAGTTGTTTGCTTTCTTTTTTTGTGTTTTATTTATTTATTTCAATGTATTTTTTTACAACTTATATTATGCCTTTTATATGAATCTTCTTACATAGGAAACATTCACTTTAGGTACTACTACTTTAGGTTTGATGAACTTTGTATTCTACAGTTACATTTTCACACACGCATAAGGACATTCACCCACAGAAGAGGCTCAGAAAATAAATGTCCTACAACCACTAGTTAGGATATAAATATTTTAAATGTATAATCAGCCTCGGCATTGATGCAAATAAGTAAAACCCTGTGCAGCAACTTGCTGGTTGTGTGTTTATGGACTGCAAAAAGTGTTGGTGTGCACTAGCTTTTTCTATCAGGTAATAGAAATGGAGTTTGCAGTAACCACTTGAGGATATTCTTGCTCTGAAGGAAGTAACTGTTTTGAAATTTTGTTTTGTCAACTTTTTCTTTGGATTTAACCTAAAGTGTTTATTTGAAAATTTTACAGAGCATCATAGAGATCTTTCCTGCTACCCTGCTTGTTTCACTTGGCTTATCACCGTGTATAACATTGGAAATTATGACCTGCATATTTGTTAAGGTTTCTCACAGCTATGAAGGCCTTTAATTATGAAATATGAACTTTGCTTTCTAATATTTAAAGTTTCAATTTTGGAGAAAGAGTCTTTGAGCTTATAGATAGTTGTAGTAAATTGTACCAGTTCAATGTGGGAAAAATTCATATTTAGTAATGAAAATTTGGTAGTGCTGACACTGAAATAGACAATTTCCTCTTTCTTCTCATAATCAGGTGACATGAGGCTTTAGACCAATGGAGATTCAACTATAGTTTTCTCAAAATATAGGTTCAAGGTATGACACATAAGCTACCTTTGCCGTTTCATATCCCTGTCGCTGGTAAATGACAAGCACTTCAGTCTATAGAACTCACAAGTGAACACAGATTAATTTTAACATTAACTCCATGTTATCAGAGATAAAGAGCAACACTTCTTTTATGTGGACTACTATTTCCTTTCCTATAATTTAGAAAGCCTGCCTGGAAGTTCAGAACACATTCTGCATCTCTATGCCTCAAACATGGGACACTTAGTCTTCATGAACTCCCTCTCGTAAAAATTTAGTCTTTGGTAAATACAGATGCTACACACTAATTTCCCTTTCAACTACCTTGCTTTCAGACCTTATATTCAACAACCATTGTTGATTTATAAACACAAAGCTGATGCATTCTTTTGAAGGACTTACCAGCAGCTCCAATGAGAATCAGGAAGAGGAAGGTCTTCATGGTTGCTCACTCGTTCTGCACTGGGCAATAGGATAAAAGGCTATTTTTTCCCCACAGCTATTTATACCTCCAGATTTGTCATTGACACTCAGGGCCATAGGTGCCAGAAAAGAGATTTCACTGTAAAGTGAAAAAAAAAGATAGAGTTCAGTCTGTGAGTGATGAAAGATAATGCAGGGTTGCTTGTAAGCATTGCCAATTTCCTAGAAGGCTATGGGAATGGAAATTGCAAACTTGGTGGGAATTACTGTATTCAGCTCAAAGTACAAAAGCTGCATGTTTGTGGATTCCCAGATAAAAACATAAGGTTCCTGTTGTGAACTTTGGCCCAGAGGACTATGTTAAACCCTGTACCCTAGGTATATAGCTAACAGTTGTTTCACAGTTATGTACTTTGGAGATTTTCTAGGCACAAAACATACAATTAAATACTGATTCATTCACCAGAAAGACTTGGGATAGTTCTGATCCTTTATATCCATGCTTACTTTTCATTGTTAGGAGGACTGCATTAGACATGACATTGGCCTAGATAGCAAGTTCAAGGCCAGTCTGTGCAATTGCCCTGTTTTTGGTTTCTGAGTGTGGGGATTACATCTGTGTGCCACCATGGCTGTGACATCACTTTATGACAACATCTCCCCTGTGAGCAGTTTTCGCTGAAGAAATCACTGATAAAACATCCGGTGGTTTGTTTTTAATTGTCCTTTGTCACCGGATATCAAAAAAGCTTATAGCAGTCTTGGTTCAAATTTTGAAGAAAGGTTTTGCACCTGACAAAACAGCACTGCTGTTTCTGCATACAGTGCTGAGGATAAAAGTTATGATCACAAATATTACGTCAAGACCACCAAGTTGTTCTTATTGTCTCTTCATAACTGCATTTAAATTTTTGTTTCAGCTTAAAAAGTGATGTAGTTTGTCAGTAATAAGACTTGAAAAGATAAACCTCAATTTCATTTTTGCATTTTAAGAGATTTAAAATGTATAAAGTAGAATGAGTTCTATTTGTTTACCGTTGTACTCTCTCAGTGACCAGCCCTTTTAATTTTAATTTGAATAGTACTGCCTAGAGTCCACAATACCTGGTCCTTTTCAGTTATTTTGAAGCAGTTCAGAGCACAAGAATTCGAGCCTGAACAGGGCTCACACCGCTCCTGAGTTTGGTCTGGAGTACAACAATTTCTTAAAGTATTCTTCAAAGCTTTGCATTTTTGAAGGCATTTATACACAGCATATGCATTTTCATTTAATAAGCAAAAAATCAGCAATTATTAGCATTACAGCTATAGATACTTCATATATATTAACTTTTTTACATCTGGAGTGAAATTTAGAATCACTGGCTGTATAAAATAGGAGGTCTCCCATATTGGCAAAACTCAAGGTCTGAAGCCTTGTTGCTGTTTGAATGTGAAATATTCCCCCACAGGCTTATGTGTTTGAATGTGTGATACCCAGGGGGTGGTGTTATTTGTAACGGAGTGGGGGCCTGCTCTGGGTTGGGCTTGGAGGGTTTTTGTTTTGTTTTGTTTGCTTTTTCTGTTTCCATTTTTTATTTAAATTAGAAACAAGATTGTTTTCCATGTCAATCCCTGTTCCCTCTCCCTCCCTCCCTCCTCCTCTGCTCCTCACTAACACCCTACCTGTCCCATACCCTTTCTGCTCCCCAGGGAGGCCTTCCATGGGAGATCCCCAGAGTCTGTCATATCTTTTGGGATAGGGCCTAGGCCCAGCCCTATGTATCTAGGCTCGGGGAGTATCCCTCCATGTGGGATGGGCTCCCAAAGTCCACACCTATGCTAGGGATAAGTACTGATCTACTACAGGAGGTCCTATAGATTTCCAAGGTCTCCCCAATGACACCCACGTTCATGGGGTCTGGATCAGTCCCATGCTGGTTTCTCAGCTATCAGTCTGGGGACCAAGAGCTCTCCCTTGTTCAGGTCAGCTGTTTCTGTGGGTTTCTCCAACCTGGGGTTTTTATTGCCTGACTCTACTTCCTCTTCTCTCTCTGCTTCCAGACTGTTGATGCAGAGAGATCTACCTCCTGGTGCTTATATTCCTTCTCTACCAGGAAGGACTATATCACTCTCCCACTCTCCCTTAAGCTGTTTGTGTTAGGGTTTTTTTTTTTTTTTCACAGTATCAGAAAAGTAACTACGACGGCCTGCATACAAGCGCAGGCAACAGTGTTAGCGAATGCAGAGAGGGACTCCCTTACTTGAAACTGTATTTCCTGTTCTTATGGACAGTGACAAAGGGGTTGCTTAGTCAAGGCACATAGATGTAGATCAGGTTTAAAATATTTTATAAACAAGGTTTCCAAAATCAGACTGTCAAGAAAACTTAATGTGGCCGTTTTGTACTTTGAAGGTTCACATGTAGTCTATATATCGCGCAGAACAGAACACGCATTGCTCACTTTTGTGTGGAGACCCGTGTACCCTAAGCTCCCTAAATCTTTGCACAACATTTTAATAAATAAAAATAAAAGTTTAATAAATTTAAGACACCAGTTCTGCCTATATCTGGTTGTAGATATGTAGAAGAACCCTGCAGAAATTATAGTTGTTTATAAATTGATTGTTTAGAAGACTTCGCATGAAAGGTTGTTTTGATGAACACTATGTTGAAACTTAATTTCTTGAGCCTAAAAAGATGGCTTGGCAGTTAAGAGTGCTTTCTGCTCTTGCAGAGGACCCGGGTTTGGTTCCCAGATGATATCAATGCCTTGTTAAACCCCGAGGGCATCAGACACACAGATCATGCATAGGCACACATGCAGGGAAATACCTATATGTGTAAAAAAGTAGAAAATCTCCTAAAGAAAGAATTGATTTTCTAAGTAGTTACAAGCCTGGAAAACATATCAGGAATCTTGATAAAACACAAAATCAATAATGTTATTCATACAGGCTTTAAATAGCCCTAAGTGACTTAAAGGTTAAAAAAAAAAAAAAGCAAAAAAAAAAAAAAAACCCACCTGTAATTGGAAATTTAAAAAGTGCTTGTCAAAGTTCGTATAACTTAGGCAAACTTAAATGAATACATTCTGTAATAGTGTTGGCTTAATTACAAAAACATGTAGCAATGCTAGATCAATATACTTCACGTGGTAGAGGCTCTTATTTAAAGAGATTACCTTAAAAATACCTGCATAGCATGATGGCTTCATCAAAAGAGACGGAGAAGGGAAGAGCATCTCCCTAGCGGACTTTCTGGCTGAGGAAGGCGTTCTGGTGGAGGAGAGCCTACGTCCCCACACCGGTCAGCTGGGCTGATGAAAGCACGGCTTGGAAGGAATGTATCATCATCAACAATTTGTGGCTGTAGCAATGGCAGTATATATTTGGCACCCACAAGTGACTATCTCATTTTTCCGCGTGCTCCATGAAGCAGCTCCGGAACCCACTATCAACTGGAGCCATCTTCCCAAACCGCCACCCTCCACACTGCTTGCTTGGGGAACCTGCCTCTGATGTGACAGAAAACCCCATTAGGGAACTCTTTAGATGATTAGATATTAGTGCAGTGCACTTACCACGTGAACCCAGCAATCCAGACAGGTTGAAAGGTTGGGTTATGATGAGTTTGAGGACCCGGATTCCCTGCTCAGTGCCCCGAGGCTCAGTGAAGAGTTTCTAGGAAACAGGAGAATTCTAGCGGATGTTGGTTCTAGTGAACGTTGCTAATCAAACGCCTGGTAGCGATAATAACAATTGTTCTTTTGGCTGAGCCAGAAATCAAGATTCCACCAGACACAGGCCGGAGTGCCTTCCTCATCTCGTCACAGACAGCTTTGATGATGGCCTGCCCATGATAGGTGATCAATTTGGAGACCAGCAAGTATCGAAATCCCTAAGATTCAGACCACTATTGTGGGGGCGGGAGTATGTGTGGGTATAGAGATGGCCCATGCCTGGATATGGATCCTTAGGATGACCCAGGGCAGCAGAGGCTACGACAAAGGTAGCCACGAAATCACTTTCTTTCAAGGATTTCCTCCCCCTGCTTCTGTGTGACCTCTATTTGAAATCTATTGGCAGTCTGTGACTCCAAAAATAGGCCACGGCAGGCATTTGGCATCAGTAGGGGTAAGGTTGGGATGATGACTAGAGAGGAAAGGGGGCTACTGTGTAGTCATCTCGATGATGGGTGTAACAGACGGGAGATGCTGCATCTTGAGTTCCAGAGACAGACTCTTGTTGATAGGCTTAATGACAGGAAACTGGCAAATGGAAGTTGTAAATTATATCTGTGTTTACCTCAGAGGTTTGAAACAATTTATATAACATAAAGCAAAAACGCAGGGCAAAATGGAAATAAAACAGTCACTTATGATTTTGCATGTAGGTTTTTATTTTAAGATTTAATAAACAGTAGAATCTGAAAAACAAAATATCTGGATGACCACCTACATTTATTTAATGCCTTAGATGTTTCATGAAGGGTTCAAAATTGCTAAAATAGATACATTTGATGAATATACACATATACACAGAATGTATATTCACAAATAAAATCCTCTATGATTTAAAGATTTTTAGTAACTTGAAGATATGGAATTATGTTAAGTAATTAGATGATTTGATTCTTCTCAGAAAGTTATATTAACCAAGATCCCATAATAGAAAAGCAAATAAGAGTTTAAACAAACGATGAAAGGTGAAAACACTGAAAGAATGTGTATATTATTATTATTGATAATTAATTATTAGAATTATCATTTCAGTATGTATATGCATCCAGTAGGTGTATGCATATGTCTTTGTGTAAATTCACATACATATGGGTGCCCATGGAGGTCAGAAGAGCATTTACCTCCCCTGGTGTTTGTTATCCATTAGAATCTGACGTATTTATGTGTGTGTATTCAGGATACTTACCTACTGTCTATTGGAATCTACACTCATTTTCTTTATAGTTTTCTGACAGAACTAAACAAATTTTACAATAAGTGTTTTCTTTGAGTATCTGGGTGTTTTTTGTGAAAACAT